AATATAGGATTTTGTTATTCGGAAAAAATTTAAACTCAGTTTCGTAACATTTTTTTAGGGGTATACTAGGGAGGTTTGATTCCGCTCAACTTTATAATCCAGGCTTGAATTAGCCAATCGGAAATCATTTCGGATTGGCAAACAAAACACGATGGATCTGCATTACTTGTTTAATAGCGTTGATAATTCTGGTCAAACTTGCAGATCATTTGACCACATTTAAAGTTGTTTTGTTCTAGATCTGGCCAAATAATCTGTAAATTTGACCAGAATTATTAACACCGATATGCAGAAAAAAAGTGAGAAAAAAACCAAAACTGACGTCCAAACTAACCTTGGAACACCGATTAAAAATGATGGGACACAACTTTACACATATGAAGTAGATGTTTTATATATATATAAACACGAAGCCCAATAAGCAAAAGTTCTCGAGGGATGTAAGCTGCGCAGCCTGCGCAGTATATTCAAAAAATCCTCTCTAGGTGTAACGTAACACGATCAGGAAAATTCCGAACAAACAAAAATCGGGTGTAACTCAAAAATCAGTATAGGAAACAACCTTTAATGCCTTATAAAAAGTTTTCCTTGTGCGATCATATGAGCGAAAATCTCCAGTTGAAATACAGTGATTATTAAAAATTAGATGATTAGTTTACAATCAGGTACATACGTACCACATTCATAGGTGCAGTGCCCTCAGAAAGTATATCGCAGTTGCACAAAAAAGCTTAACATAAATTATGCAAAAAGTACGCGTACGTATACCTGATATCTAAACTTATTTCCTGTGTGCATTAACCCGATTGACAAAGATAAAGGCTAAAACAAGTCAATGGGCTAATATTACCAAGTTGGGAAAAGCTTGTGGCCGTGCTCAAGCTCAATCATGCGTCCGCATGATTTTTCGCAGCTGGGGAACGACGTTGGAAGCGTTTTGGACGCTAAACGATGTTGGGGAACTAGAGGCTGTAAAGTAAAAAAGAGGTAGTTAAAAGAGGAAAAATGGCTTGAGATAATAGGAATAATGTGTTAGCGTAATCGCTAAATTTTCGAAAATGTTCTTTCTACTTCTCTGTAAAATCCTTATAAAAAGATACATTTTCGCTGGAGCAAAAGGGTGTGCCCATCCCGCTCTATAAACAAATCAATAAATAATAAAATTCTCTAAAAATCGCCTCACAAAAGTAAAAGACCAATCACCAACTAAACGTTCTTTAAGTTATTTACTCCTCTATAGTGCTCCTTAATTACCACTTGACCTTGTGTCAAATCGAAAATCCACCTCTACCATCTTTTGGGAAACGTTACGCGGCATATTCGTTTCTCAAGCGACAATTCGTCGCATTTGCCTTATCCTTGAACCCGCCCTATTAACCCGTGATAGTATGAGAATTTCCAGAATTTTATTACTTTGGGACTGCAATACTACACATAATTCTAACTTATTATTATCAATCATTGTATTTAGAGGTAATGCAAATATTGATTAAACTCATCGGAACTCAATGAATTTTTATTACACGTTGTCTGAATGAGACATGTGAAACAAATACTAGGTTTATATTGCGTGAAGTGCATTTTCAACTTCAAGTAAATGACGGTTTTGAAAATTCTCTTTTAGAGTCTTAAAATAATGGATTGATCATTCTTCTTAAATACATATGCTTAATTCTGAACTTACTATATTAATTGTCAAAGTTACGTCATATAATTTTATTAATATCCTTTTAAAAAAAGCTATTAGCAATTCGTAACTAAATCTGATAATTATTAGGTAATAATTAAACTTAACAATTTAATTAATAGTAACAAAAAGTGATTCAAACCCTAATTTACACTATTATAAAATAACAATACATTAGAATTAATTTTACGGTCCAGCTGGATATAATTTAATATAAATTAATAAATTGTTCATTAGGCCGTTCAAAGTTGATTAGTTGGTTAACATCATCCCCCGCTGTTAACTGTCCCCCCCATAAATCGTGTTTGTTTAAATTTTACCCTCCCCCGCTCGTGCCTGAGTTCAAAATATTGACGTTAACCAACCAATCAACTTTAGACGGCCTTAACGTAATAAATTAAAATAATTTTATAATTAAAACCAACCAACTATTCCCTAAACATAAACGTAATAAATTAAAATAATTTTATAATTAAAACCAACCAACTATTCCATAAACATAAACGTAATAAATTAAAATAATTTTATAATTAAAACCAACCAACTATTCCCTAAACATAAACGTAATAAATTAAAATATTTTTATAATTAACCAACCAACTATTCCCCGAACATATTATAAATACTGCTACAAAATTTTACATCGACCTAAATTCCTTTCGAAACACTTACAACACCAACAACTGACTCTATTGGTGGAATAGGAATGGGGTTTTGTTTAACTTCAACAATAACAACCTCCTCAATTGTTATTTGAGATTGATATGTATTATTGGCTGTAAACTTAATCTTTGGAGAGAACAAAGCTGATGTGCCTGAGATTTTAGATTTATAATCATCACGCCATTTTTCATTTATAATGTAAGTAATCATGTTTCCTATACCACCAAAGTTAATTGTTGCAGATGCTATTGCATTTATCCATATTCTGTCGTACTAAATAAATAAAATAAATTAGAAAAATAAATATAAATTTAATATTTAAAGTGTATTATGCGTACATTAACAGTTTTTCCGGCAATGTAAATCATCACAGGCGTCCATTGTATAAGGTAAATTAGAATATAGGTAATAATTTTTCTCGTAGCAATTAACTCTATCCGATTTATTCTAGGAGCAGTTTGATTATATTTTCTAATAAGACTCTGCCGATTGTTTATTTCTCGTAAAGTCATGATGTAACAAAATATCGTAATAAGAAATAACGAATAATTTAAAGACACCAATATTACTGATAATGTCGGAAGATCTTTAGTAAAACACCTGTTAATCATAAAATTGAACTTTAACTGTATGTTATTGATTTTTAAAGAACATGCTTAAAACATACCAATATTTACTTGGACCGAAGTATTGGTATATAAGAGCAGTAAATCCAAGATTCAGTAGTATGGCGATGAGAAACAACTTATAATCATACTTTCCCAGCTCGATATAATAATTTCTACATATTCGAAGGTAAGTTATAAGAGCTATTGATCCTATTAAAGTTGCATTATAACCGATAGCGAAGAACGTTAATCTACCGATTACTTTACAAACAGTTCCTTCCAATGGATGGCCATATATTAACGTATACGACTATGCATCAGAAATTATATTAGTAAAATCTTAATATACGAGTTTTTTTTTTAGATTAATAAAAGGAATAATTACGAAATTTGGTATGTTGTTACAAATTAAAACCAAATCTAGAAAGTTTTGACAAAATATTTAAGAGAATATGAAATCAGGCAAATGTAGAAATACGTGAGAGTTCATATGATATAGAAAATTAACAGCATACCTGAAATTGCAATATATAAAGGAACTCTATGAGCCGTTGATAGAGTTGTTTTCGTCACCAGCCATCGTTTCAATGACCTTGTCATCACATAAAGAGTGCAAACAAGATTCACTATAGCGAAAGCTATACTGGTCAGCAAAACCACGTATAATCCAATACTTTGATTATTATCCATAGTATGTGAATTATTCGTAGTATTCCCTCCAAAAATTGCAATAAGACGTTTTTTGCAAATTGTCAAAAAAAGAACAAAAAAATAAATAAAACGATCATGTCAAAAATGTATTTATAAAAAATATTGTAAAAATATAATAGTTTTTAGCATTAAAACGTCAGTTCGTTAAAAGACAAGTTAGTTTATTGATCTACTAATGCATCAAAAGATCATGACTTTACAAAGTAATGATTATCACTAATTTACGTTTCAGGGTCATTTCCATTACGTATAAAGCCCTTTTTGTTAAAAAGATGGAAATAACTCTAAGGATTGAAACGCACAAAGATAGTAATAATTAACTAAGCTTTACAAATACCTGTTAATAATGAAAGGCCTCGGTCGATGCATGGAAAGAATTGGAACGAATAATTGGTGTTATTAGAGTTCTATATTAGTTTTGGGCTTCCCAATATATAGTCAATAATTATCTTTACCAATCGGAGGGAATCATCGAAGCGAACCCTTAAGATTTTTTTTAACCTACTTTATTCAAAAGTAGAATTGTTTGTTTTTAACCGCATTTCTGAACTAATTTACCATATGGATTATTATTTTTTGAACCTGAACTGAAACTTGTAACGTTTTAGCATTATGTGTATTCGCATGTCAATACTATAAATACGTATAATGAATGCCTGATATTACGAATGATATTCAATGAATATCCGAATATTTCTTCATATCTAATCAAAGTTACGATTAACTCAATTTTTACATAATCATCGACCAAACTATATTTGTTCATCGTTATTTCTGTGTTACCATATACGTGTTTTATAATTATTTTCTATGGACAAGGAAGTTTTATGATTCGTTGTGATTTACTGGATTTACTGTGATCCTAAGTCCAAGAGAGCCATCATTTTATATCAATGTCGTACGTACATCAAAATGGAATTATTGTAGATTTAGAATGCACCTAAGTTGATTCTTAATAAACATAAATCGTAATAGAATTCTAAAATGTATCCGAGTTGTTAAAGATTTCCAAAATATTTCATCAAGTACGCTGTTTTGGAATTTAAGTCGCTTTAAGATAGTGTTTATTCATAACACCACACATGCAAATTTAATTAAATTTAATAGCAAGTTTCTACATTTATGGATAGTGTGATGGCAACTACTCCCATAGAACACTTTCATTTTTTTTACATTTACAATAATTTTTATTTTTGCAATTGCCTTTAATATTATTTACCTTGTGAAGGAACTTGTGAAGAGAATTGCATAATAGATGCTTCTAGAGCGCTTATGAACGTTGAATGAATACTATTCAATACTCGGAACTTGTCGAGACTAGTGTTGTTAGACGAAACTATTTTTGGTAAATGGCTAAAGTCGAAACTGGCGAAACTCTGGCGAAACCTCCAGTAAAGCCAAAACCATTTGAGAAAGTTAATCACAGCAAAGATCAAATCCTCTAAGATTTTGGAAAGACTGCCATGTTGGTGAATCAAAATATTTTGCATGTGACTATTCTCTGACGAAAGAGAAACCCATGACGAAAGACGAAACTCCCAGTAAAAGGCGAAACCCACAGTGAAAGTTGGAACCTTCAGCGCAAAGCAAACTCCTGGTGAATCGTTTCTCATAGGTTACTCAGCATTCCATCTTAGAGAAATTTGCGTGTCACAGTTCGTTCATTTTTATATTGATTTTTTATAATATAGATAGTTGTACTTTTTTATAAAATATGATTGAAAGTAATGTACGAAATATTCAAGAATTTATTCAAACTGTACATAATATTTATCAATTGCTAACTATTACAATTGCAAAAACGCTTATAGTATGAAATAAACAATTAGAATAGTTTGAATATGCGAGTATTATATTACCGTAATATGTATAGAGAAGCCCCATACGAAAATTAGGAAAAATCGAGTTGCATATCGATACGTTGTAAACGTAAAAACGGCGAGTCAGTCGCTAATCGGTCAGATTCCTCATGTAACCACTTGGCAGAGTTAATTACGGTCGAAAGGGGCGTGTTAGATATGGCGAGTGGTTTATTGGGTACTAGTCGGGTTCTACTGTCTTTAAGGAGGTTTCGGGTTGGTTATCGATTAAATGTACGAACACACTTTATGTATTTTTACGGGTTAGGGCAGACTTCGTTATAGCGATGACAATTACAGTTTAATAAAGTTACTTGGTTTCTTATGTTATAAGTAATTTACTGTGAGTGTTTAGGCAATGTATTATGTACTATATATTATGTATTGTTTGCTAAGGGGCAAGTTATCATCCCCGAAGGTCTTTCACTTCTATTCACATTCCGTGATGCATACGACTGATATTACCTAAAAGACCCTTCTGAGATCGCTGCTATCCGTCATATGTGACCGATGCGACTGATGCGACCTATCGGTCGCATGCGACGGATGCGACATATGCGATCGATCTTTGCAAATTGGGATATGAACCCCCAAGCGGTCAGGGTCCATCCGGGTCCCACAACGTATACAGTAGATTTATACATGCCGTCAGAAATTAATGCTAATAAAATTGTGGCTACCAATTTAGATTATGGCTTGTATTTTAGATTTCGGCTTTTGCTTCAGATTGTGGCTTTATTTCCACATACCTGAATATTTTCAACACAGATGCAACTAGTTTAGACGACATTAGTGTTGTTAGGCGAAACCATTTTGGGCAAATGGCGAAAGACGAAACCTAAACCTGGCGAAAGACGAAAGACGAAA